TGACTCAAATAAATTATATTTGATTTAAATAAAATTTTCCTCTGCGTATTTTATTATTATTTATTATATTATTATTTTTATTAATTTTATTATTATTATTATTATTATTATTTTTATTATTAGTATATAATACTTTTAATAGAATTCTTGGCATAATTTCACAGGAATTCAATTATTTACAAAATTTTTAATACATTTTTTCGAAATAATTTAATTATTTTCATAAGTAATAAAATTTTCACAGGAATTCAATTATTTTAAATACTAAATTTGATAAAATTTGTTGAAAAATATCAATTATTTAAAAAGATTTTTATAAAAATCGACGCAAGAATTCAATTATTTAAAAAAAAATGTAACAAAGTTCTTTTCAAGAATTCAATTATTTTTATAAACTTAATTAAAAGTTCGTCGCAAGAATTCAATTATTTATATAAATAACAAAATTCTTCTCAAGAATTAAATAATTTTTACAAATAACACAACAATAAATTTTCAGAGAAATTCAACTATTTAAAATAAAATTTAATAAAATGCGTTACAAGAATTCAATTATTTTCAAAAATAATAAAACTCTTCTCAGGATTTCAATTATTTTCAAAAATTTTAATATAATTCTCCTCAAGAATTAAATAATTTTTACAAATAATAAAATTCTTCACAACAATTCAGTTATTTTTATAAACTTGAATATAATTCGTTGGAAGAATTCAATTATTTTCAAAAGTAATAAAATTCTTCGCAGAAATGCAATTATGTTCAAAAATGAAAAAAAAAAATTTTTTGTCAAAATTTCAAGTATCTTTATAAATAATAAAATTCTTTTTAGAAATTCAATTATTTTAGAAATAATTTAATTATAAATAATTGAATACTCAGTGAATTTTCTATTAAAAATTGATTTAAAAATGAATTACCAAATAATCGATTTATTATTTATGAAAATAATTGAATTCTTACAACAAATTTGATTACATTTTTCAAATAATTGAATTCATGTGTAAAATTTTATTACTTGTAAAAATAATTGAATTCTTGCGAAGAATTTTATTAGGATTTTTGTAATTAATTAACTTTTTTTTGAAAAATTTTATGGTAATTTAAATTATTACAAAACATGAAGAAGGCGATCACTCCGAGTCGAAGACTCGGAGTGACCGTCATCTTCATGTTTTGTAATAATATTCTTATAAGTTGTTGAATTTCAAAAAGGTTTAAATTTAAATGTTTTGAAGAATTTTAATTCCTACAGAAAAATAATAATGATTAAATATTTATTTAAAAAAGAAGTAATTGATGTTTTCGAATAATTTTCCAATTTAAGAAATTTGTAAATAAATGTAAATAAATAATAGAACATTTTTTTAAGTATCTAATAATTTTTATTCTTTAGTTTTTTTTTTAATTTTTATTTTTTAAAATGTAAATAAATGTAAATAATTAATAGAACATTTTTTTGAGTATCTAATAATTTTTATTTTTTAGAGTGAATCAGAATATTCTTTAGGGTCAGTGAAACAGTGAAAATTTTTTTTTGAAAATCAGAGAATAGTCAGGGAAAAATAAAATTAAGTATTTGTGGCAACCCTGTATAATATGTTATTATTAATTATTTATATTATTCTTAATAATAGTTATTGCCATTAGTATTATCGGTATGGTATAAAGCATTATCTGCGTATGTTTCTGTTTCTTTGGAAAAAAGGAATTTGTATGAAGAAAGTTAAAAAATAATTAATTGCAATGTTAATTTTTCGAAACCGTTCCTGTTTGGAATATAATTATAATTTCTCGACGGTATATATGGGGAAAAATGGAAAGAGAGTGAGAGAGAGAGCCAAGATCGAGGACATACTGAGTTACGCTTACGGGTGCGACCAGAGAGATAAAAATCGCTAGCAAGTTATGTACAAAGATGTCTGTAACTGCTGCAATAAGGAAGAGCCATAGCAATGGATATAAGGTATATAGCGTCGTGAGTGGTCTCTTTGGTTATACGAAGCCAAGTACTTATTCTGAGCACAAGGCTAAAGGGAGAAGAGATTTGTCCTTCGTGCGGGTGATTGATCCTTTTATATACATATACTGTATACATATATAAACTTATACGTATGATCAGAATAATCGAACACTTGATTTAAAGTTTTTTTGTCGTTTAAAAATTTTCCTTTGCTCGATTTGAAATATTTATTGTACATAGGATCTGCGGTGATGTGTGTGTGTGTGTGTGTGATTCAACTCTCATTTTGGCATTGTTGAGAATTTTTTATTACCAACTTGCTTTAATTTATTATTTCCTCTTATGATCTGCATCTGTCGCAATTAGTTTTCAACTATGATTCTTCTTATTCAGTTAGGAATCACTTTTTCCACTCCGATCATATGTGTTTAAAAGATTAAATTATTATTATACTTTATTATTGTCGATAAAAAAAAGTTAATAAAAATTGGTCTAAATAATAAAAGGGCTTTTTTTTTTTATTAAAGGGCTTTTTTATTATACTGACGGAAAAAAAATTAACTGGAACAGTTAAAAAATTTCACTACATTGGCGAAATTTTTAGTTGTATGTTTAATTGAAAAGGCAGTAGAGTGTGCATTGTAAATAAAGCGATCACATGGTTGCAAAATGAATCGCGAGAAGCGTTCTCACAGAGGTATCTAACCCTATCGTTACATTCAACGACCTAACCTCGCGATAAATGTGCGTCCGCGATTGTATTTAGTCCTTGTGTTATGTATATTTGTTAATTACTTTCAAATATACATTTCGCAAAAAATGCAGGCACTCGATTATTTTTTTACCTTTGAAGCAAAAAATTATAGGTTATGTTTGCAATTTTTGAAATAAAAATACAAAAAAAGGATCAACTGGCAACATAAATTATTAATGTTTAAGTATTCATTACAACTAAAATAATTAATAAACACTGATTTTAATTTGCAATAAGTAAAAAAAACTTTCAAACTAGAAAAACGTAACGATAACATAACCTTAAAGTGATTTGCTTCTAAGGGCCATTTCTTCAGATCGCGTCACAAATTTGGATTTCATTAGGAAATAGGAAAAAAATCCCCAACTAGAATAACAACAAATTTTAAAATTATAGCAACTTATAATAACAACAAATTTTATAAGTAAAATTTTTTGTCCGTAATTTGATTCAAAAAGAATAAAAAGTTCGTAAATTGTACGATATAATTTGGATAATTTTAGAGAAATAATAAATGATTGCAGAAATTCAATTATTTTCAAAAGTAATAAAACTCTTCGCAGAAATTCAATTATGTTTAAATTTTTTTAAAAATTCTCATTAAATTTTCAATTATCTTTAGAAATAATTAAATTTTTCTCCGAAATTCAATTATTTTCAAAAATCTTACTCAATTCAATGATTTTCAATATCTAGGTACTATTCTAATAACATTTTCCAAAAGAATTCAATTATTTAAAAAAAATTTAATAAAATTCTACACAAACTTTTAATTATTTTCAAAAAATAATAAAAATTCCAGATGAATTTCATTATTTACAATTTTTTTTTTTTATAAATTTCTTCGCAGCCATTCAATTATTTTTATAAATAATAAAAATTTTACGGGGATTTAATTATTTTCGTAAATAATAAAATTCTTTTCAGGAATTCAATTATTTTTATAAATAATAAAACTCATTACAGAATTTCAATTATTTTTAATACAACTTTAATCGAATTCCTTGAAAAAATTCTTAAAAATTTTATTAAAATTCGTCAAAAGAATTCAGTTATTTATAAATTTATTAACGGTCAGGGAAGTTAGGGAAGTCAGGGAAAAGTCATGGAAAAGTCTGGGAATGTCAGAGAATTTCATTAAAAGTCAGTGAAATTTCTAAAAATTTATACAAAAATTAAAATTTTTTGTGAATAAAAAATTTCTTTAATCCAACAAAACTTAGAAGATTTTTATTATCGTTTGTTTTTATCATTAGATATTAATTTATAGTCAGTTACCATATTTTTGTCCCAAGAAAGCAGAAATGAAATTAGAAGAAGTCAGGGAAAAAATCAGGGAATTATTTTTTTAATCCTTGTTAGACACACTGTTTAAATAAGTAAAGTGTTTTTAAAGAGCACAAAAATAATGGAGCTAAATACCATAAAAGAGAAGAAAAAATGTTGAATTTTAAGGAATTCGGATTTTTGAATTTTTGATCATTTTTAATAATTTTTTATTTTTTACCAAAGGGTGAAGACTATTAAATAAGTAAAGTGTTTTTGAAAAGCCCAAAAATAAAAAAGCTAAATACCAAAAAAGAGAAGAAAAAATGTTGAATTTTAAGAAATTCGGTTTTTTGAATTTTTTTTCGATTTTTTGATAATTTAAGATTTTTTACCAAAGGGTGGAGATGGATGGATTTTTTGAAAATTATTATTAAAAATTATCTATTTAAGGAAGAATTTTAGTTAAAAATTCGTGTAAATAATAATTGAATTGTAAGTGATTTTATCACTCAGTCATCATTAATTATTATAAAACATGAAGAAATCGATCGATATCTTCATGTTTTATAGTTTTAAAAATTTTAATTTATAGTACTTTCACTGGTTCGAGCCCTGTTAATTAATAATAAAATAATTATTATTAATACTGATAGAATAATTATTATTAATATGTGGATAAAACTAGATTTTCTACAAAATTTTTACTACAATTTGTGTAAAAATCCAATATACTCTGTGGGATTATTCCAGTAACTTTTCCGATAAAAAACAAAAAAAAGAAATTTATTAACAGATTTATTTTGAAGAAATATACAAATTTTTAAATTGAAATTAAACAATTAAATAAACTTTTTCTTCGAATGTCCGAAATAAAGAGTACCTTAAGAAAAAAAAAAAGGAAATAAGATAGAGAAATTTAATAAATCGTGGTATCGAGGTTCTTTGGTGAGGACCTCTGGTGACCCATACAAATTTATCGTAACGGGTTCATATAAAAGCGTGCAGTATACGACTCACCTTGTGACTCAAGATCGAAGCGTGGGTGTCCTGCGGGAATCAAGAGTTGAGAGTGCAAAAAAGACGAGGAAAGGAAATAATATGTTCAATGAGAGAAAAAGATAAATATCAATTGTAAAGGAGTATATGTGCGTGGTATAGTAGTATGTGTGTGTTTTTTTTTATCTGTACACAGAAACAAGAGATACGTTTTCTCTTAAGAGTATACACACACAAACACACATAGATATATATAAACACACTATAATTCTTTCACTTTTCCCGACTCCTATATAGTCGAAAGCCGTTCAACCGTTCTCACTCTCGAAACTCACGTAGCAAATCATGAACTTGGGCCTGCACTTCATAATCGGCCGATAGTAGCGCTCCATCGCCCCGACGTCCGGCCAGGCTTATCAATTGTATTCGTTCATAGCAACTCGTGTCCCTCTTTTTTTTTGTTTTAACTTTTTTTTTCTATTTTGAATCTGCTTTTTTTTGAAGTTTGGACGAAGATGTAGAAGAAATGAAGAAATGAATGTTTATTGTCGAGAGGGAAAAATAAATTGATTGTTAATTGAAGGCGCAAAGTCCTTGAATTGAAAAGGATTAGAATTCTCTCGTTGGCGAGTTTATAATACTATATTGCCGTTCACATGCACGAACGGCCGTGCGAAAGAACTTTCGTATCGGGGACTATACGCGCTGATGGGTTAATGTCTGTATCCGTGCCAGTCGGCGTACGCCGAGAGTCAATTTTCTCACGCCTGCTTTATTTCCGACTCTCCTTCTCTCTTGGATGAAGAAATAAAAAAACGATAAAACAATCACACACTGGGCTCGTGTCACAAATCACAATTTAGAAAAATCTAAAAGTGGGGAAATTTTTTTTTTGGCTGGAAATCTTTTTTTGTTGGATGATTGTTGGTTTTTTTCCTCTTGTTTTGGGTTATAGTTTGAAGTGGTTAGTTTTTTTGGACTCGGTGACAGTTTTTAGAGGAAGAAACTAGTAGATTGTTGGAAAAATTAAAAGTATTAGAGAAGGGAGTGAATTTTGATGATTGTTGTTAGAAGTAGATGGTAGTGGATGGTAGAAGATGCTAGAAGATGGTAGAAGATGGTAGCAGATGGTACAAGATGGTACAAGATGGTAGAAGATGATAGTAGATGGTAGTAGATAGTAGCAGATATTAGTAGATACTACTAAGTAGACACTACTTAGCAGCTACTACTATATAGTATGTACTACTTGATAGTATGTGGAGCTTGATAGTATACAGTACTAGTTAGTAAATACTGTGACACTACAAGTATTCGGATGAGCACTCTAAAGAGTGCCAACTTGCTCTCAAGTCGCGCACTCTAAACACGCAAAAGGAAACGAAATAAATGCCGCAAAAGGTACATATGTGGAAAAAGGTGGAAAAAATATCAAAGAGGGAACGGATGAGAAAAAACACAGAGAAAAATTCTCTTGATGTGTAAAGGGCCCTGGATGTTAAACCGGCTCGCAACGCGCAAGTAGACTACTGGATGAGGCTGCAGACCACAGTAGACGCAATCGTAGTACCACTATATTTACAAGGAACGAACTCTGCTTTGTCATAGGGTTCCCTCGACGTATGTACAAATATACACACACAAATACACACAAAAACACATACTCTTCCAGAATGAGAGAGATGACAGACTTGATTATGTATTTGTGAGTGCAGGTATAGACACTCTCTTTAACACGGTTAAAAAAGACCCTCCGCATGTTGCGTATGCGTGAAGTACACTCTCATAAAACTACGAGAGTTCGATTCATCAGTTGTTGCTTCGTGGAGGTATCATCTCCTTGTGTGCTGCTGTTAACGAGCGTACATACAATCCGACAAAGTAATGGTGACATTCCGCAGCGGGTCGAGAGCCCTCGCAAATATAGAGGAGATACTCTTGACAAATCGAGGGTCAAATCTTGAAATGGCGCACCGTTGCAACCGCAAAAAACAAAAAAAAAAAAGAAATAATGAAAAAAAAAATAAACGAGAGAGACTATAAAGGAGGTTTTTTTCGAAGAACAAGTATAAGAAATTTATACGATATTTCTTTTTCTTAAAGAAAACTAATGTGACTTTCAATCTTGAAGATAAAAAGAATTGGGTATATATTTTGGATTTTTATTGGAGAAAATAATTTTTTTTTTGTGTAAGAAAAGGAATTTAATGGGAGTTCTTACTTTTGATGTTTAGAAAGTAAAAGCTAAAGTGTCTGGTATTTTTGAGGTGATTTTTAATTACTAGTTTTCGGCAATAAGTTTGAATAGTTTTTACAGGGTTGCCAAAAAAATTTTAATTTGTTTTTCCAATTTCCGAATAAAATTTTGACTTTTCCCCTAGCTTTGAAGAATATTCTGATTCACTCTAAAAATGATTTTCGTTAATGAAATCTAAAAATAATTAGATACTCGAAACAATGTTCGATTACATTTATTTACACGAATTTCTTTAATTGTAAAACTGTTCTAAAACATCAATAACTTTCTTTTTAAATAAATATTTAATGATTACTATTTTTCCAAAGGAAATTAAGATTTTCAAAAATTTCGAATTTTAATTTCGAATTTAAAACCTTTTTTGAAATTCAACAACTTATAAAAATATATTTTTATAAAACAGGAAGAAATCAATCACTTGGAGTCGAAGACTCGGAATGATCGATTTCTTCCTGTTTTTTTAATAATTAAAGACGACCGAGCGATAAAATCATTGTTTTATCTTATAAAAATATTGTTACTGTAACTTCTTCAAAATTATTTTCGCGAATTTTTAACTAAAATTCTTCTTTAAATCAATTATTTTTAAGAATTTTTGAAAAATTTCTTTGAGAATAAAGAATAAAGAAAGAAGAAAGAAAATAAAGAAATAATTAAAGAACATTTTTAAAATAATATTCATCTTTTCAATTCATTTATTATTTTCTCGAATTTTTAACTCGAATTCTTCTTTAAATCAATTTATTATTTGTAATAAATTTTTGAAAAATTTCTTTGAGAATAAAGGATTTTATCATCAAGAAATTTTTCAATAATTGAATTATTTTTTCGATGAATTTTAATAAAATTTAAAAAAATTATTACATTTTCGAGGAATTTGATTAAAATTGTGTTAAAAGTAATAGAAATTCTGCGATGAATTTTATTTTTTATAAAAATAATTGAATTTCTGGTTCATTTGTAACTTTCCCAAATTCAATTTTTTTAGTGTTTTTTAACTAAAATTCTTGAATAATTCCATTAATTTGAATTATTACAATTTTTCAATAATCTAAGTTCTTCAAAATTTCTAATTAAATTATTTTTTAATAATTTTTGAACAATTTCTTTGAGAATAAAGAAAGAAAATAAAGAAATAAATAAAGAATAAAGTCTTCGACTCACAATGATCGATTTCTTTCCGTTTTATAATAATTAAAGATGACCAAGTGATAAAATCATTGTTTTATCTTATAAAAATATTTTTACTGTAACTTCTTTAATATAATTTTCATCATTTCAATTACTATTCAATTATTATTTTCTCGAATTTTTAACTCAAATTCTTCTTTAAATCAATTATTTTTAATAAATTTTTTAAAAATTTCTTTGAGAATAAAGAATTTTATCATCATAACAAATTTTTTAATAATTAAATTATTCTTTCCATGAATTTTAATAAAATTTTAAAAAATTATTACATTTTTCGAGGAATTTGATTAAAATTTCATTAAAAGTAATTGAAATTCGGCGATGAGTTTTATTTATGATAAAAATAATGGAATTTCTGGATTCACTTGTAACTTTTACAACATTCAATTTTTTCCAGTGTTTTTAACTAAAATTCTTCTATAAATCCATTATTTTTAATAATTAATTAAATACATATTAAAAAATGTAAATAATTTTAAAAGAATTAGAATTATTATAATTTTTAAAAAATCTAAGTTCTTTAAAATTTCTAATTAAATTCATTAAAATATGAAATTTTTTAAAATTTTAAATTGAAGACTTTTGAAGTTGATTTATTTATAAAAAAGAAATCATTGTCAGAAAAAAAAGAAAATTTATAGTTTATATATTAGAATTCGTTATGATTTTTTCGTGTATGAATTATAAATTTTTACCTACTTAAGAAATGGTAAAATTAACTATACACTCTCCAAAGTAAAATTCGTGAAAATTCATTGAATAATGCAATTAATAAAAATTTCTACTAATTCCTAGTAACTTCTCACAAAAACTTTAGCAAAAAATTGGTTTTTTGATGAAATTGTAAAATTTATTTCGGAAATAGTAAAAATTGACTGCAGAAATGATAAAAAATTAGTATTTTTAACTAAGTGATAAGTAGAAATAGTTAATTTTTAGAATCAGTGACTTATTCAAATAATAAATTGAGTGATAGGAGTAAAATTGTATTAAATATCGAATGTAACATGATTGCTGGTAATTTTTGCTCAAATTCCACTAAATAATTCTGTAAAATTTCTGCAAATATTACAAGTAATTTTTTCCACGTGGGAAATAACCAAAAATTTAGCTGCATTGCAATTTTCATTTTGATAAGAAATTTTAATTCTAAAATTTTATTTTCTAAAAATTTCTCCCTATTCCTAAGACGAGTAGAGAAAACGAGTAGCAATTTAATAATGTCATACGTGATTTTGACGTGAATAGATGCTGTAAAGCGCAATATTTTTCCTCTTTGATGAATGGTAATTTTCCATATTTTAAAGTTACTTGTACACATTATGCTAAAGATAGCACTAGAAATTCACTTTTGTCGCTTAGAAAAAGAAAGAGAGAAATATATGAAAAATGAAAATCATTACAAAATGTTTGACATTTGCATATACTTTTAGTGCGACACAGTTCGTAGATTTAATATTTACCTGCATAATTTACACGCGTGCAGTTGAGAATTTCTTGGAATATTGTTGGTGGTAGGATAATTTCACTTTGTCTTGGAAATCCCATAAGTGACATTTTATTTACAAGTCAATAATCGTTTAGTTATGTGCAAATGTCATTGCTCCTTACTTTTTAGACGATTTGAAAACGTTTGTTTATTTCTTCAATATTTCTTTCTTTTCACATAATAAATTATATTTATCGTTTCGAAATTTATGTATTATAGAGAAATTATTGAGAATCTCGAATTCCGACAAAGGAAATATTGCAAGTATTACTGCGCCTATTTTTGAAATTCTTTTTGCAAGTACTTGCAAAAGGGAAATTTTATTACTACTTGAGTCAATAGAGGCTAGAATTTGGTTTTTTGATCCAGTTTCTTTTATTTAATTTATTCAAAGTTTAACAAAGTACAAAAAAATCGTCATTTATTTGAACTTATCACTGCTTTTTTCCGTGAATATTTATTAAATATTTGATGTTTTATTATTCGGAAAGTTAAATGCTTCATACTCTGTTATTTGATGAATGAAGTATTTAGTATTTTTGATTATTGAGTCCATTAAATGATGCATGGTGATTGATTATTATTGCCAGGCAAGTTTTCAGTTTCTAAAATTCTGTTTGTATTTCTATAAGCAATGTGCTTTTGAACTCGTTTTTAATGTTTATTTCCGTGAAAACGTCACGTCGTTGAGTGAAAAATGCTTTTTAGTGATTTAATACGTTTGATGTATAGTAAAATGTTATGTCATACTGATTTCGTGTTTTGACTTTATTGACTCGAATTATTCACTAGTTTAGATTTAGAGATTTTTTTTCATCACTTTGATCTGTATTAGCAAAGGTGATACAACTCCTGGTGGATTTTAGACAAAATGATTTTTCAACTGATGAATAGTGTAGCTTTAAAAAACATAACTTTAAAAAAAAACATGTACACAATTTTTTAAAAATTCTGGTCAAATTTTCAATTATCTTTAGAAATAATTAAATTCTTCTCCGAATATCAATTATTTTCAGAAATTTTAATAAAATTTTAGCTTTTAGGCAAAATTTCAATTATTTTTAAAAATATTCCTTAACTTAATGATTTTTAATTGGTATATACTATTCTAATGAAAATTTCCAAAAGAATTCAATTATTTAAAAAAAGGATTTTAAAAAATTCTACACAAAACTTTTAATTATTTTCAAAAAATAATACAAATTTCACAGAAATTTCAATATTTACAAATTTTTTTCTAAATTTGTTCGCAATCATTCAATTATTTTCATAAATAATAAAATTTATACGGGGATTTAATTAATTTCAGAAATAAAAAAATTTTTTTTAAGAATTCAATTATTTTTAATACAATTTCCAATTCATCGAAGAAATTCTTAAAAATTTTATTAAAATTCGTTGATAAACATGCAATTATTTAATAAATTATTTATTTTTGTATTTAAATAATTGAATTCTAGTAGAATTTTCTAATAAACATTGATTTAAAAATTAATTTCAGTTAAAATCTTAGATAATAATTGAATATTAAAAGCAATATAGCCTGAAATTTTAAAAGTAATTGGATTTTGAAATTAATTTTTTTGAAAAAGTTTCATTGAAGTTTTTTAATATTATATTAAGTTTTGAT